TTGCTTGACAAGATAGCTAAAAAAGCTGACCTGCAATCTCCTGCGGTTTTGGAGGCGTCACAGCCGCTGGCCGCGCCGAGCGTAACAGTCCCACGGCGCCCAGTCCCTCCACGCGCTGTGTGCGACCCAGCCCCAGTCTCTGAAGTTCTGACCTTGACTTTTCAGGGTTTGTTTATGGTGTGTAGTACTAGGATGTTCAGGCACCTCTTGTGGCTTCCCAGTGTAAATACCAAGAGAACAAACTCCGATTTATTAATCAATTAATTAGAGACAATATATTTATGGCTACCACAGGCCCACAGTAATTTGTTTTAACAAAGTGCTAGGCTGCAGTGAAAAACAGACATGGTGGATCAGTCTTTCTTCACGGGGAGAATCCCCTTTCTTTCTAATCGGAGACTGTAACAGTTATTTAACACATGGCACAGCTAACGCTTCCGCTGAAATTTGAATTTGTAAATAGCTGGACCATTTGTTGTCTCCTTCTTCACCTTTACTTTATGAGTTTTGTCCTGGAAGAAAGAACAAGAAAAAAATATTTGCTGGCACATAAGAAAAAGCCTTTCCAAAACACCCTCATATAAATAAGAAAGTCCCAGTGTGGGACTGACAAGGCATTAGTGAGCAATGGTCACTTCCACTGGGAATGGCATTTCCATATGCTATTTCCACCTCTAGGCTGTCGGGCACAAGCTGGTTTGTTCACAAGCACCAGCGAAGGGCAAGTCCCACTCAGACAATTTTTTGGTCACTGGGATTTTTAAGGTCTCCTTGTAACCTACAGAAACGGGTCCTTGCCTCTACTACTTGAAAGTATTAATTTAGTACTTGAGAGATGGCAACACTATTTTAGAAAAGACTTGTGGGCACCAGTTCAAAGCTGAGTCTTTGTCCTTGCTGACTGGTTATGACTTGGACTAGCAGATAAAATTTACTAGCCATGGCACAACTGGAATGCTTCACCTCCTCGGTTTTTCCATACTAGAAGAAGATTACTTATGTGCAGGACTTATCTGGCAGCGTCAGTATAAGATCAGAGTGAAGAAACACACACACACAAGACCAGACCTAATGACCTTAGCAAAACGAACTGAAAGAACCAGAACTAAAACCCTCACCAGCAGATCTTTACGTGTCTGGATTTTCTGTGCAACAACAAACATGGCCTTTTCTCTTTCAATGCGCTGCTTCAGGAGGTCATACTGATTCTTCCTTTGCTGGGCTAATTTCTGGAGGAAAAAAAAAAAAAAGAAGCTGTTTTAAGACAGAGAGGAACAAGACACTATGGTCTGTAACCAACATATTCCGAGGCACTTGGACCTCACAAACATTTATTACATTTTAAAATCATAATCATATTAAAGAATGCCGCTTCTACTCTGTGCCTGGATTCCAGAGAACCATTTTAACGTCTTGATTCTCGTACTAGAGGTTTTCTAGTTAGGATTTAATCCTTTGTTCTTGTTTTAATTTCCTAAATCCAAACATAAAAAACCAAACTACTTCTAGTTTGGTGGATGGAATTTTATTTTTCTAAGTCCTCCGGATTTCAGAGCTGAGTGCAAGAGAACATTTAATTCCCTAACAAAAACCCAGTTTATCCAGAGGAGGGGGAAAAAAAAAAAAACCAACCCCAACAACAAAACCAGATCAGTTCCTGAAGTGCTTAGAAATTGCACAGAGGCCTCCCAAAATGCAACTTGTTTCATCATGTTTATCTACTAAGAGCGGATGGCTTTCCCAGCACAAACATGGTATTACTGCAGGTGTGATCTCAGTAATTAAATTAAGGAGAACAGATCCCAACATGCTTAAAATATGACTCAAGATATTTAGAGAAGACTTGTCAGTCTATGGTTTGTCCAACTGCTTTACTGAGAAGCCAAACTGAGAAAGCTGGCGAGAAGAAAGGGACCACAGGGTGTTTGTTATCTGACATGTGATTCAGAAAAACACAGGTTACAAATTTATCAATTGGCAATTTTAGACAACTTTATTTTTACTTTATACATACCAACTCAAGCTTATGGGACTGTCTAATACATCTAAACTAATTAAGCTGTATTTACAGTGTTAAAACTGAGCGTAGCTACTTCTAGGACAGAAGTGCTGTGATATTAACGTATCAGAATTGAAGTTGATTGCGTAAGCAATTCATCCTGAAGGATCACGGAACACTTGAAATCAGGAAGCCAGGAAGTGAGTCTATAGCTTAAACGTCTTTAAGAAAACTGGGAAGACAGATCCTGAATCACAAGCCACTTCAGGCTCAGAAATAACTGAAAAATACCATGAGATCAGAAACCCAACAACAGACACATCTATGTTGGAACAAACTTCTTCACATCTCTGTTCAGGGGGTGCAAGGGTTCTTGGGGAGGTGCAAGGGGACACTTAACAGTACACGCTGCAGAAAAATCACACTTAAAACTGCAGCAATCTGATGAAAAGATAGTCCCATAGGTGTATGTTGTGTACCAGAGGAAAATATATCAGATTTGCCAAGCAAACCGCCTAATCAGATCCATACCCTTCCTTTCAGGCCCACAGGTCACAACTCCTGATTTATTCTCCACCGTGGACCAGGACACAAGTGAACAAGTTCCCTGTATCTGCCCAGAGATCTGCCTGTAGGCTTGGGGCACCGGGTGATCAAGCGACATCCACTACAGCCTTGAGTCACCATCAGAAAAGACAACAGAACAACTCTGTTCTCCTCCACAACAGTCCAACGAACCCTCTTGAGTGCTTATTATATAAAAGAAATTAAGAAAACTATCACAGAAATAGTGGCACTACAAACTACCTTTAGGTGGGCGGGGTCAGTAGCTCCCTTCAGCGCCTCGTTCTGCAGCGTTGCGACGGTGGGACGGTTGTACACTCTGTCTACAAGCTCTGGAACAGTATCCAGGTGAGTCACAATATCAAACTCCTGAACTGTAAATAAAGATAAATTTAGGAATAAACTCACGGGGACTTCCTGGACTAACGCTCAGCAAACCTTCCAAACGTGAAGCTGATCAGAGTCAGCGATGGGAGCCCCAGCAACGCGGCTCCTGCAGAGCGGGGTCCCACCTAGCAATCAAGAGATTCCTAGAGCACCTCAGCTACTATTCCTGAGAAAAAGAGGTTTTTTAATGACAGCGTAAAGAAAGCACAACGCTATATTAAACGGCCAACACTAAAACATCCCAGAACAAGTTTTCTGATACAACCTATTTAAATCTTACCTTCTTTTTTGCTATCAAAAAAGAACACGTGCTTGCTGGGCTTCTTCCCCGCAGCGTCCAGCAGATGGAGCTCCGACTTCAGCCTCTCGATTTTCTGCAGGTAGAAAAGTTAGTTGTGCCATGCATCCGGGAACAAGATAAATAATGTCTCCCCGAGGTGAGTTCCTGTTTCTCAGGCATCTGAACTCTTCTTTCCTTTTTAATCTTTGAAAATATATCTAGTCTATATATTTATGTCATGTCTTCAAAACCTTTTCGAGTAGAGGTTAACAGCCATTTCCAGTATTACCCAGCCAAGTATGTACGAGTCAATGTTCAAACCAGTAAGTTACCTGTACGGCAGACGAAGCAGGAATGATTAACATGAAACCACTAAGCAAAAGTATGAAGGAAAATTCAACGGTCACTTTATTTTTTTATCTGCAGTGACGCTGTGTGGATCAACACCAGAGCATAAAACACGTTCAGAAGTGGGTCATATTTCTGTTGATTGCCTGCCAGCCATATTCAAACAACCCACTTCAGTAACAATAACTCTCAATTTTTTATAAACACTAGATGCAAGAGCACAGGTTTAATGTCTGAAATTTACATAGGAAATTGCCATGGTTTATAGCTGTGCATAGTATAGTAGCATTAGTCAGCACACCTTTAGGTTCTACAGAGAGCACTCCGCTGGCACTTCCATCTATCATTTCCAGTATTACACAAATCAGATTCGTGTAACTAAATAGTTACTAAACATGAACACAATAGCCAACAACAACAAAAACCCCACAATAAAAAGAACCATTCTGAGCAAACTGGAAACACTAAAAAAGTAAATTATTACCTTGGCTTCTGCCACTCTTTTCATTTCCACATATTTAATATCCTGCGTCCTCATCAGTTTCACCTGCTCCGGGGTCACTTCATCCTTTGGCTGCTTTATTTTATGAACTCCATCCTGAAACCAGACAAACAGCACTTAGACAGATGCCACTCCAGCTGTAGTGTTCCATGGGTCCTAATAATAAAAGCAAAAGAACATTCTTGTCCTTTGCCCCCCATTTTCTTCAAAGCCTTCCACAGGCACCAAACCAAATCTGCTAATTTATTTACTAATTAATAAATTAAAAGCAAGGTAGGAAAAAAAAATACATTACTTAGAGCAACAGAGTGTGACCCTGCTTGAAGGCAATTTAGATTCTCACCTGGAGCTCTGCACGTATCATTTTAAAGTAGAACTCATCAGGATTCTTCTCCAGAGCTTTCTTCTGAAGTGCTCTGAGGGCATTCTGTTTCTTGTGATAGTCACTGGGAAAGAAAAAAAGTTAAAAAACCAAACCAGAGAGTTGTTGAGCAGTTTCTCCATGTTCACACTTCCTGAGGAGATGCTGAGTCCTTCGAAGTGATGCTCAGAGCTTTGAGGCAGCCGAGAAGGCTCCGCGCATGGAGCTGGACATCACCAATGACCCCAGCGCACGGGTCGTTCCCTAACAAAGCTGGACATGGCCAGCGTTCCGCGGGGAGGGTCAGAGAGGAGGGAAACGCGCTCACCCGCTCGGCAGAGCTCACCGACCTGCTCGGCCCTCACGGATCTACGGCACCGCCCGTTAAAGGTGCAAACGCACCCTTGTGAGATTCGCGTTAATCACAACGATAACGATTTTGTGGCGCCTGCGCCCTCGCGTTCCCCCCCGCCCGGATCCTGACCCGCCCGTTCCCGGGGGGCCGAGGCTTCCCCATTCCGGTGCGAAGGCGGACGCCGGT